TCCTTCGAGGTTTCCTTGAAGGTGCTAAGTACCCCTGCAAGGAAAGGCCGCAGTGGGGAGGGGCGCTCTTTAGGGTAGATGGCAGCTAACAAGGGAATGGTCAGAAGTCGAAGTGGCCAAACCAAACAAGCTGTATACCATTCGATGCAGCATCGAACGCTGACTTCGAGTCTGTCTTCCTTATCTGCTTAGCTTTTTTGTGGAGGAAGCTATAGTAGTTTTATTGCGAAAAAACCTACATAAAAACTGCGAAATTAAGCACATAATTTCCCTCTCAGCTCATCTTTAGGTATGGGCTGTACGAAGCAACCTAGCTGCATGTGTCGACATAAAATTAATCAGAACGTGGCACTGTACGGCCAAATTTTCACTTTAACGCACAATTTCTTAGCAAAACAATGGCATTTAATGGCTTATAACTTCGTCCAGAAAGGCGATAAGCAAATAAGGAAGACAGATGTAGAGTCAGCGTTTCATGCTGCATCGAAGCATCGAATGGTATACAGCTTGTTTGGTTTGGCCGCTTCGACTTCTGACCATCACCTTGTAAGAATTGCCGCGACGCGGCGTTACAATAATTCGCCCATGAAGCAGTAGGACAGTAAAGTCGTTTATATTTATGCATCCCGAATTCCATTATCCTAGATTTTGCTTCTTGCAGAGTTAGACTTGGTTTCTTTTCCTTTGTTCCCCGAAAATCGCATAATCCCGCGGAATTGCTGTGTTCTTGCGCAGGTTTTGCGCAAATTTGAAATGATAGTATGAAACAGTCAAAGATACTTTGTTAGCCTCAACCAAGGATGAAAATCCTGCAATGCGAGTCATGCTGGCCAATTCCACTTTCTGCCAACTAGCCGCGCGCGATGCCTGCGTTATTGACACTCACAAGTACGCACCCGGCGGCAAGGCTTTGGGAGGGAGGGCGTGCAGGAGTTCCTAGCACCTTTCCTCGCACCAAGTTCGCACCATCAATCGCACCCAGGAGGGTTCTAGCACCTCCGCATCTCAGAGGTCAGGGACCGCCCATTGCTCCACCCATTAACTGCTCTCATTGTGAGATAAGCAAGTAGAGAAAACAGAGAATTAGATATGAAGTATTGAGAACGAAAAAATTGGAAAAAAGAAGTCACTTCATAGTTGAACTATATTAAAATAACTATGAACATGTGATTTTCACTGATTACAAACTTCAGTAATAAGCACGCTTTATTCAAGTTAGTATAAAACTTTAGTATGAATGCAGTGTCCAGTTTTTTTTTTCAAATTGGCGGTTACCAGTTCAGATATTAAAAAAACCTACCTCGAAATAAATGTTGCACTCTCTGGATCAGGGCTCGGCACAGGTGGCTTGTAAGCAAGCTGCGTATCGTTTTTGGGACAAAAAGCAAAGGGGGTTTCGTTTTTGTGACCCAAGGGAGACGCCAAAATTGGCGACTTGGCGACGTTTGTTTTAGTCGACGTTTCGTTTTTTGGGGGATTTTGGGGAATTTTTCAGGTTTTTAGAGGAAATTTGGTTGAGGGTCAAAGGGGACTTCGTAAAAATTCCCAAAACTTAAGGGGGACTTCGTTTTTTCCATTTTCATCTAGCCACCTCGTGCCGAGCCCTGCTCTGGATATCTCGATTTGAAAATTTGATTGTTTAGAATGAAAAATCGGCTGCTCAAAAATATTAAGTCGCTCCGAAAGTTCGCAGTTTTTCAGACCCATGCTCAAAACACTTAGAAGATAGACAAACGCTGTAAGCACTATCCGATGTAGAATTTCTTCTTCTTTTCAACGGCCATGTTTTCGTTGTGACTATTTCGGTAAGCACTGAGATAATCGCCGAAAACTAGAGCCCATCATTTTTACCGTGTTTAACTTTCGCTAATTTTAAGAATTTTCATTTTGAATTTTTGAAGGCGCTCTAATAACCACCTAGGGCAAACCTTTTGCAAATTTATGCAATTTTTTCTGCATTATTTCAACCCCCTCTGTAGAATTTTGCTGAATTATTTCACGAGAACATTGTTTTGAAAAAATTGCAAGACACATAATTGCACCAAACACTGCGAAATCCCCAAAATGTTGAAGTTCTGGAACTCGGTTATTACTATCACTAGTATTACGAAGTAAGTGAGCGATTATGGCGTGAAAATGAATTGATTTTGGAATTTCCACTACACCCTTGCGCACCCGTAAAATTGGAAATTACAGCGATTTTGTCTGCATGTCTCGCAAAGAAAAGGTAGCTGTCAGAAAGAGGAGGAAAAGATGCATCGAATGGTACCTAAACTGTTCAGCGTCTGGTTCTGCGAGGTTGATGAGTCAAATATAAAATTTGATCACTTCAGAAAATAAATTTTAGCAATTCTAGAAAGCATGCCAGAGAAATGCAAGCGTGAATTTTCCGACCTATATAAATGAAAATTAATGACTTGTGCATTTTCTTGAAGAAAATCGGTCATACTACTAGAAGATTTCGAAATTTAGATATTGGGTGGCCAATTTAGATGCTGGCTTAGGGCATTCAGCGTTCGACTTTCCAAATGACTGTACTTATCGAAGGCTAGAACTCTACTTTTCATAGATTCGACAATAGAAATAAATTATTTTGTAACGAGTTTTCGGTTTCCTTCACTCTAATATGCTGTTCATATGCTTGGATGTTTGTACTTGGACGCTTGTTAGACACGTTCCCTTGTTCAGATACGAGCGCTTGACACAAGGTAATCATCTATAGCGAAGCATAACAAAAGATTTCTAAGGGAGCAGGTAATGGCGAAGGAAGTGTTGCTCTTTAAGACATAGCTAGCACTGGTAACCAAGATTTTGTGAATTTATCTGCACTCATTCGCTGTTTCTAATGTTTGAAAGGAAATTGAATTCGATTGACGAAATTTCTCGAATCGGCTTAAGTGGTCCTCACTTTTTATAAATACAAAGATTCCACTGCGCTTGCACAATCTAGAATGAGCGCACTTAGAAGGCGGAGAAAAAGGCGGAGCCGTTCCTTGACCTGTGAAGGTGTGATGTCCCTTCCAGGTTTCTCTGAAGGTGCTAATCACTCCTGCAAGGAAGATCGGCGAGGCTTTGGGAACTCCTGCCACGCCGCCCTTTGGGAGTTCCTGCTCGCCGCCTCTTCACCTCTAGAACCTCACAGACAAACGTCTTGGAGAGAGCAGTGTTTAGAAAATTTTGACTTTTCAAATATACGTCCAATTTATTGCGATTGCACGCGACTACATAGCATTACGGTGATTTGAAGAAAAACTTCCGGTACGTATGGAACTTTTCAAGACCCCATAGCCGTATTATCATTGACACCTAGAGGCAAAATCTTTATACCTCCACTAGTGTTATCACTCATTGCCATCAAATACCTTTTCAGTTTCCATAAACGTACCCTGAAGTAACTTTCCAAGGTTAATTTACCTTGAGATGGACTGTTAATGAAAGGTTCCTCCTTGAGATAGATTCTACCCCAAGATTTTTACATCCGTACTCATCAAACGATATGCCTTTACAACTGCTCACCCTAGCCAGAGGCAAAACTAGAAGAATACCTTCGGAAGCCTATGAAAATTCAGGAGTTTCGTGCATGAACAATGCTTTGGAGTAGCTTAGGTCACTGTAACAATTTTACGAGATTTGGTTGCGATTCATGCGAGTTGTAGGGGTGCAACGGAAGCACAGAACTTTTGTTTTCTCAAATCTTTACAGATGTTAACAAACGCCGGAACTACAAAGGCCTTCAATACGACCGTGCGCCCCTATCTAGTCCTTTTTATGCTCCAAGGCAATCGTTGGCCACAAGCCCCTCTTGCCAACAAGTACATTTTACTGTTCAACACAAGAATATTGTATATATGTAGTCTGAACATGATGTCATATGGTCGATTGTGCGCTCTATTCAACCCATTCACTTTTGCCCTACTTTTGAGTTTCGCCTGCTATGTTTGACATGTTTTGCAATAACCCTTTTGCATTTTGCCCTAAATAAAGCCCAGTTCGACTCCGGTAGTTCTGGACTGAGCCTTGTACGACGTATGTACATCTGCGCGGGCCAAACTTTACTCTTTTAACTGCAGTTTTCTCGACGCAACGGACGCTACATCAATATTCGGGCATGACTCAATAAGGGAAAGGAGGTGGGAGGTTCGCCAACGAATCCATCTAGATTTTGATACCGGGGTCTTAGTCATCCGCTCTGATTCGAGTTTGAAGAGAAACTGCCTCTAACAGTGAGGGCCGCATGCATTGACATCCACGCTGGGGGGGGGGGATCGCAGCTAAAAAGAAAAGCTTTATATCCTGTAACTGTAAAAGCTGCATTTTCCAGCTTCTTGTATGATCCCCGGTGGCCAACCATCTTTTCTTCAAAGTCATTTTTTTTTCTTCGAAGTCAACGAAAACCTTCCAAAGTTGTACTGTTCGTGTAACCCAACAGTGCATGTTGCTGATAAGAACAAATGAGTTATTGAAATATCGAATTTTCTGATAAACCCCAGCCAGCTTTCGACTTGTGGTTCATCGCAATTTTCATGATTCCAACACATCATTTGTTCTTATCAAAAACATGCTTAGCATTGTTTGGTTAGATAATCAATGCTTTGACACATTTTCATTAACCCTGAAGAGAGAAAATTGACCATGACGAAAAGGTCGGGCGCTGGGTATCATTAGGGGATCATAAAAAATCTGGAAAATGCGGCTTGTACAGCTTCTCGCTCCTGTTCAATATGTTCATATTAAAGGATAGTAGGAATACTTACGGATAGGTAGACAAAGTGTAATCCAGATATCTGGAGTTTCAGGATATAAAGCGTTTCTTTTAAGCTGCGGTCCCCTCCCCAAAGGGGATGTTAATGCATGCGGGCCTAAATGTGACTCAATCACGCAGGCAACGCCGTCTGTTTCACATGGTCTAATCACGCATGTCATGAACAAGTTCTATTACAAACTTGAAAAATCACCACAATTTTCATAATTCTCATAATTTATGGAAAATTTGTATTCAGAAATCGACCAGATAAACGCGAATTCAACGCCGACGATCTAACTTTACGTTTCGGAAAACGTGGAATGGAACTTCATCCAAGCGATCTTACCTTACGTTTCGAACGAGAACAGAAGTAAGATCAAGGGAACCTCAGTTACGGCTTTTATGCGAAATCATAATATCGTTATGTGCTTTTGAGCGTGGTTTTGTGGAACATAAAGAATGGCTGTTAGATGATTTAAACATTGAAACATAGATGTTTGACTAATGGCGATCAAATCGTAGCAAGACAACACTCCGACCAAGAAAAAGCTAGTCTTTACAAGAAGGACTAGTTGCTATTTGGTCATAAATCGTATGCCCGTCATGAATAATGAGGTTGTTACTATCGGAGAAACCAAGAAAGACTACGAAAAAGTTCAGTTATAGCGAAGTCCCCGTATAAGACCGAGCGCAAGGCCCATATCACAGCACTCTTCCCACAGGTACCCTCTCTTCACTAGGAACGATGAGGGCTCGTGCGGCTCAGATCCCGCGCGACCGCCTCTCTTAAAGGCAGCAGCTCGCCAAAACCGAACATACTGAAATTTTGAGATGGAAGGTTGCTTGCACCCCAAATATGAAAACAGAAAGGTCCGAGCGCACAGCACGCTGTCCCTGCCTAGAAAAATCCGTTACGCGCCATTCTAATATGCGCGGACAAGCTTGCGATTCTCCCTAACCCGTCAGAGAAGGCATGCCGCAATGTTATAACCGCGAGGGTCCCGCAACGATTCTGCCTCTCTAACCATAGCGGGACATGTCCACTCGTCCAAATTCAAGATGGGAGGCCTTGGGAAATGGTGGTTTTTGTTTTCGCGCTATTCAAGGTGGATTTTCGAAATAAGCGCCTCGAATTACCCTCGGTAAGCAAAAAAACTTTGAGGCGAGAATCTGCCGAGCCGCTGCCTTTAAGCCTAAGGCATACCTCTCGCGATTTCGCGAAATCGCCACATACTCGCGATTGGCGATTTACCAGATGTCTAGAGATTGAGCATGCGAGGCTCTCAGATGCATGGGTGCGTAGATTCCGTAAATTGTAACAAACACAGCAAGTCTGGCCAAGCAAAGTGCGTTTACGACCAGCTATGGAGAGTCGTTGCAGTGACAGATCGCGCGGCGACTAAAATCGCGTGAGGTATGCCTTAGGCCTAAGGCATACCTCCAGCGACCACGTCGTTATTTTCGATCGCTGCGACTAGACTGCCCGAGCGATCGTCTACTGCGTGAAAATCGCGCATCGCTTGATTACCGGACATACCCAAAGCGATTTCGTAAGCTCACGCACCACACCGCATTATACGCACTTTTGATTTGCGCTAAATTGTCTGAAGTGCATTTATTCAAGGAAATTCGACAGATTGTAGCGCCATATGCTTTCAGAGAACATTATCAAACGAGGAAGGATGGATCCACATTTATCCTAGTATTTACCAACGTTCTTCTACCAGCGCAAATTAACATCTGCAATGAAATAGGTTACTAATTCATGAATTTTTGAGTTCACTCTTTCAATCATTGGTAAGCATACACGTTACTTCGTTACAGTAAGGCCATGCTCGGCTCTGCAAAAAGCTCTGTGTGGGCATATTTCAACAAAGAGTGCTGCGCGAGCTCTTGTCTGCCATTCTGCGAACGAATACACATAGGTGGGGGAATGAAAGCCGCCAGCTTCGGTCGCCTGCGCGGACTGCTGGTCCTGGAACGACATGCAACAACGTTGCGAAAGGACCAGTTAGCCGCGAAAGGCGGTTCAAACTGGCGGCTTTCGTTCCCCTACCCAATACACATCTATGCCTGTGCAACCGGGGGGATGGTCAGGAGGTACGATCGGCGCGAATTTTTCGCGAAACGACGTCGCAACACACTTCAGTCCCTACAACACTAGAGCTCCTGGCGCATTCCTACTTATAGCATTAAATCATGTATCTGCCCCCATCCTCACCCCCTGTTTTTGATGCCGGGAATCTCCATCAGCGGAGAGTATTGGAGGCCCAAGATTTGAACGCGGCGTGTGCGGAAGAGTGGCCGCCGCGCGCGGCGTACCTCCTGACGTGCAGCCGTGCAGCTGAAATTGCATATCTATTCTGCTTCAGAAATCATAGCAAGAACATTCGAGAGTCAGTCATCATTTACTTATTGATAAACAAGAACAGGAGAAGATTAGTGCATTGCGAGAAAAGGAGGTGACACATGGGAAGCATTCCATACGATATACTTCGCAAGCGTTGTTTTCAACGAATAGTATGAAATGTTTGATGACCATCCTTCTCTCGTGACAGAGAAAGCGCTTGTGTGAGACGTTATAGTTCTAGATGGGATTTGCATTTGCAAGAAAATACAAAACATCTCTCAAAAAACAAGCCATTCGACGACTCGCCGATCGCTGGCGCAGAAGCGACGGCGACATCGCTGGGTTTCAGCGAAGTCGCAACGATATCCTCGCTGAGAGTATGCCCGCCCAAAAAAGGCCCGCGATTCATCGCAGTGTCAAGCATGCATTAACATCTCCGCCAGAGAGGGGATCGCAAACTTCTATCCTTAAAGGCACCGTCCACCCTAAGTTGAGGGTGTTGAGCTTTTGACAGCATATAATAGTAGGGCCCCCCTATCAATCCAATGCCCAAATCGCGGCGCAAAATGCCGCTTCGGAAGCGAGAAACTCGCTTCGGAATAGCGAAGATGCACGAGGACCCCCATCCATGCCCGCCCTCCCCCATCCATGCCCGCCCATTTGTGCGCGCCCATCCAATCACCGTTCTAGAAAGCCGGCCTGTGGGTTCTCTGGAACGGGGATTGTCGGGGTTTTGAGCATTCTCGACTTCATATTCGGAATCAGGGACATGAGAAGGCCCTGAAACGACAAAAACATGGAAGTCGAAAATCTGGGTGGACGGTGCCTTTAAGCTCTAGATATCTGGGTTTAACGGCAGTGTCCAAAAGTCGATTTTGAGTTTTTGTCCTTAGGCTCCCGCCAGAGTGCCGAAGTTATGCCAGCGCTACGCCAGCATTTCGATCGATACACGTGTATTTTGTTGGGGCGGGGCTAGCTGACGTCTTCAACGAAATACACGTGTATCGATCGAAATGCTGGCGTAGCGCTGGCATAACTTCGGCACTCTGGCGGGAGCCTTACCCGGGCCTATTCGCTATGTTGAATCCGAATATCCACACTGGAGAGCGCGAAAGCTGCGATAAAGGGTTCTAACACAGGAGGGCAATCAGAAAGTGGGCGGGGTCTTCCCCACCGTCATCACCTCTTAGACTCCGGAAAGATCCTCTTGCTTCCGCTAGCCGCCCTGACATCGCTACCAGCCAAGAGCGTACGTGTGACTCGAAATCGGAACCGAGATATCCCCCGGAAGCTGGGAGCATGAATTCACAATGAGGAAGACCCCGCCCACCTGCTGGTTTCCCTCCTGTGTTAGAGCCCTTTTTGCCGTTTTCGCGCTCTCCAATGTGGATTTTCGGATATAGCATAGCGAATAGGTCCGGTCAAGCGCAAGATCTTAAAATAGAGTTTTTGCCCGGACATTGCCCGTTGTCTACCTATCTATAAATGTTCCACCCATCCAGGGCCCCGCACACATCGTTTGGAAGAAGGTTGACTTCGTTATTGGGGCGAAAAAGCAAAGGGGATATCGTTTTTGTGGGTTTGAAAGAACACAAGTTAGGTGAGGTTTTTTAGTCGAAGTTTCCGATAGGGGTCAAAGGGAACCTTGTAAAATTTTGCGAAAGTCAGAGGAGACTTCGTACACAAAAGTCCAGAAACGAACCCATGCCGAGCCCTGCACCCATCCTTCACCGTGAATATATTGAACAAGACCAAAGCGCCGCTACGCGGCGCTTTGGTCTTGTAAGTGGATAAAATGTACAATTCATAAGCTATCATCCTGGCGCTTTTAGCTATGTATTCCAAATTTCAACTTATCCAACATTATTCAGACAATGTCCGACGACATACGTACGGTTCATGCTAATTTGATATAGATTAACCTGACCGGCAAACTTTTTGAGAAATGAGGTTTTTTCTTAGAGGTTACACCCGTGAATCGATTTACTATTACTAAAGCAGCAACTTTGGAGTCAAAATCTGTAGTTTGATCTACTTTGTAAACTATAAGACCACTCTCTTTTGCAAAATTTGCACAATCGCTCATGTAAAAATACCTTGGAGTTTACAACATAATCAAAGCAAAATTCATGAATAATCGACTATCGCTAGACTATGCAAATTCAATGCCTAGTAACGGAATGGAGTACATGATACGTAACTCGTAACATTTGAAGATAAGAGTGAGATCGATGAGTATATGCATATGCAAGGTTAATAGTCAATAACTACACATACTGCGATACCGCGAAGCAAAAATTTTTTACAACACATTCAAAATTTTTCATCGTGCTTCGTATAAATCTCTTGGCTAGCAAAATGCTGTGTACAGATAGTCCGGAAATGAACACGAACTAGGAGTTTTTGACAGACGTTCAATGAAATCCAGCATACAATGACTAACTGCGCAAGCAACAAAAGTTATCCAGAAATTATGGGGGACTCTGCTACAGAGATGATAGAGATATCCTTGTTTCTTAAATTGCTCTCAAGTTTTTTTACATAGCAAATTCTCGAATGATTAGACACATATCCAGAAAATGTTTGCTGATAATCATAGGCCGAGTTTTTTCGTCAAACAAAACTATGATTTCATCTACTAATGTTGATGGTTTAATCTACTGTTTTGACAGAAATTTCTATAAAGCTTATGGTTTATGCATTTGAAAAAGCATATGCAGCCGTCAAAGAGATGTTTGCTCAAATTCATATGTAAGAACGTACTGATGATCATCACTCAGTTTCTCCGTAGACTATCTCATGATGCTCTGAAGCAATGAGTACGGTTGATGAGTGAAGTGAAACTGACATGAATGGCGACCGAAGCATACGTAATGCAAGGTGGTGTCTATGTGATACAGTTTTTGAGGCAAAAGGTTACTTATTTGGCTTTGCGACGTCTGAATTCTTTTGTTTTCGACTTTTTTGTGAAATTGACCTTTCAAAGAAAGTTCCAGAACTGGCTAGTGCTCTCTGAACCCTAAGGGTGGCTTGCGCCCAGCAGTAGTGAATCGTTCTTATATGGACTGAATTGCGACGAGTTCTTTTGTTTTTGACTTTTTTTGTGAAATTGACTTTTCAAAGAAAGTTCCAGAGCTGTCTGGTGAACATGCTCACCGGCAGTAGTGAATCGTTCATATATGGATTAGATTGTTGAAAGAACGAAACTCGTTGAAACAGGCAACTCTATAGCGTTTTCAATTTTTTTTTTTGTGATAGATGAAAGTGCATCTTACAGTGCTAAAATTAAGACTGGAGAAAAAGTTAGAATGCAGCGATTTGTTAGCTTACGATAAGTCTTATGCGACGCCTTTGACACGGAAACAGTGTTTAGAGTTGAGACAATGATTGAAACTAAACAGATCTCAGAGTGCAGCAAGGTCGATAGATTTTAGAAGATCAAAACAGTTTCTGCATTTCTGTGCAACAACGAATTTGACTTGGAAACAATATTTGAAGGTAACGATATAAGAACGAAGAAGGCTTGAAAGCAAAGTCAGCAGTTCTTGAGATAGCTATTGATCCCCTAAATTGTTTTGCCATTTTTTTGACATGAAGACACTGCTGGAGCAATGAATTAAGCGTAAAGAAGAGAAAACTCATAGAGGGAGAGAGAAAAAGACCGACTTCCGCGTATCTAGCGCTCAAAGCTACCAATAAGCATGGAGGGAAGAGCTTTCAGAATGTAAACACGATGATAATAGAAGTGATAGAGCAACCATTGGGACAGGAAGAGATTTGGGATAGACTTCAAAAGATGCAACAGTAATGGTGGATAGAGAGTGTTGGGATGAATACCACTTTGACTTTGGGTACGGTTGATGGGTGAAGTGAACCTAACATGAAAGGCGACCGAAGCATACGTAATGCAAGGTGGTGTCTATGTGATGCACAGTTTTGGAGGCAAAAGGTTGCTTATTTGGCTTTGCGACGCCTTCTTTTGTTTTTGACTTTTTTTGTGAAATTGACCTTTCAAAGAAAGTTCCAGAACTGTCTGGCGCTCTCTGAACCCTAAGGGGTTGTAAACATGCTCGCCGGCAGTGACGATGTCACTGGTGACGTCATCGCCAGACATAGCCACATGTTTACACTTGATGGGGGGGCCTGCGAATTATTATAGTAGATGATAGGAGCAAGAAGCTGTACAAGCCGCATTTTCCAGTTTTTTTTTTCTATGATCCCTTGATGATCCCAAGTCATTTTTCTTTCTTCAATGTTAATGAAAACGTGCAGTTTCAGTGACAGACAAACGGTGGTAAGCATGTTTTCGATAAGAACAAATGTTATATAGAAGTCATGAAAATTGCGATGAACCACAACTTGAAAAGTTGGGGTTTATCAAAAATATCGATTTTTCAGTAATTCAACTGTTCCTATCAGTAACACGCTTAGCACTGCTAGGTTAGATAATCAGTACAACTTTGAATGTTTTTGTTAACTTCGAAGAAAGAGAAATGACTCTGAAGGAAAGATGGCCGGCCGCCGGGGATCATCAGGGGACCACTCGAAAAGCTAAAAACTGCTTCTTGTACAGCTTCTCGCTCCTATTCAATACGTTCAAAGTGGGATAGTAGGAAAAATTACGGCAGATTTAAAGCTTTTTTCTAAGCTGCGATCCCCTTCACAGCGGGGATGTTAATGCATGCGGCCCTCAGGCACCGCACCTCCCGTGAGATGCTCTCTCATCATGTTTCCACACGTGATCGTGGAATAAGCCGAGCTTCAATCGCCAACTAAGCGGAGAAAATGAATGAGAACCCCGCAGAAGAGGTGCAGACTCACGCAAGGCAGCCGTGCGGGGCCCGAGCCGCACGAACCCATTTGAATGAGAAAGAGAGTAAATGGTGACTGACGAAGGCAGTCGGTTGATTGTGCGAAACGGCTGCAAACGGTGTGTTTGATTACCTCTCATCCAGAGCTCGTATACCAGCGCACGCCTCGCATGCATAGGCGAACGCCTTCCTCTCGGACTAAAGCCCGTATGTATGTACGTACATCCCCGCTGGGCGGGAAAGGGGATGTGAGAGAGAACGCGTCGTATTCTGCTGTTTGGATATCCGTATTTTTCTTTTCTGTCTATGTTATGGATTGGGTGTATGCCAAGATGAACGATAGCTGGCAATAAGCATACTGTACTGCAGCGGTTGTCAATATGTTGCACATGAAGTCTTATTTTTTGAAGCTATATGTTCTAAACTGGATCGAAAATGGTGTCGAACAGTAAGAATTAGGGCATATAGAGCTTCCAGCGTTTTCTCCAAGTTCTACATATCATCATAGCGTAAATATGGAATTTGAAAAAGATTTGACCTACGCAGCGCATATAGCTGGCACAACCTATCGTTCATGTTGGCTGCCTCCCATGGATTTCCTATAGCCTGATACTTCAGTATAATGGGCGCATTGACGTACTAGCTGAGATTTTCACCATTGCCTGTGATCCTACGACACAACTTTACAGCATTTTCGTCGAGTTTATAAAAATGTGACTTTGAAGATATTGATTGATCCCGTGGGGATCCCCGGGGGATCAAACGAAACAGTGAAAATGTCAGTTTCTATGGCAATGCCCTGCCATCCATTACTCTCAGATATTAGGGTAAGTGAACCTTCATAGATATATTAGGTTGTAACATAAATCTTCTTACACTCTAATTTCTTACGGCGATAAGTCATATAGTTCACATTTTCAATAGGGGTCCAGAGTCATTCGATAGAGCAAAACAAGCTCTACAATATGGTGTGCAAACGTTCGCACCAATTACGACCCACTGTAAGTTTGTATACAAAATCTAAATCGCACTGAAGGCTCAAAAAGTGGGAAAAATTCATGTTTCCGTTCAAAAAATCTCACGAATCTCCACTTGCTCACAGAAATTGCACATTGCATCAGACACTCATATGCACCGTTCCTGTATTTTTTCCTCATTCAGAAATCAAAAAAACGAAATTTTTCATGCTTGTTTAAATTCGAAGCTGAGCTATTTCCACTCATGTAATTGTACACTACGATTCTTTAGAAGTATAACCGTAAATTTTCAGCTTCCCACAAGCCCGTTTTCGTGGAATATTGATTTTAGCTTGGAACACCCGAATGAGGAGTGCTAGATTTGGTAATTTCCGAAAACTAGGGCCTGTGGAAAACTGAGAATCTACGGTTATACTCCCAAGAGCTTGTAGTGTACGATCACATGAGAGGAAACAGCATGGCTCCTTTTGTGTATAAACATGAAAGTTTTCGTTTTCTCTATTTCTGAATGAAGAGAAAATACAGGAACGGTACATATGAGTGTCTGATGCAGTGTGCAATTTCTGTGAGCAAGTGGAGATTCGTGAGATTTTTTGAACGAAAATATGAATTTTTCCCTTTTTGAGCCTTCAGTACGATTATTCAGGTACCTAGAGTAGCGAGACATAGCACGTCCCCACTAAGATCCGCTCTACGCATGGATGTATGTGCATACGGGCCTAACTTAAGAGGCAGCGTCCAGGCAGATACGAGCTCGACGACCACGCCCACTCCCCTCGGACGGCCAACCCCTTATGAACGAAATCTCCTCGGCCTTGACTCTCACATGACCCACACAGTCGAACTTACAGCGTTTACCTGTTTTACTTGCTTTCGACAAGGATAACATCAGAAGCGTCCGGGTTTTCCCAAAATAACCCCCAAAGGTGTTTTTCTGAGAAATTCACGCCTTTTGAGTTCCATATTCGGAATCAGTGCCATGGAAAGGCCTGGATACATAAAAATATAGAAGTCAAGAATCTGCCTGGATGCTGCCTTTAACACCAGCTCTCATTCCCCTCGCGCCTTGCTCCGCCCTTCGAGTTTTTGACATAGCATTCAGATCCTGGTGCTTACGCACCAATGCATCGAAAGCAGCTAGACTGCGTTGAGGTGGTACCGAAGGGAAGAGTCTTATGACGTCGACTGTACATGAGTAACATGAAAGCTTTTTGGCCCATTCAGACCATCAATGAAAAAACCTTTATCGTAGTGAGACCGAAGACAGCAACGATTTTGCAAAGAAAATCTCAAAATGTGCATAATTTAGTGCACAGGCTAAGTACAAGGCATAAATGATCTACGGGATTAAAGAAAGCTGACACGTATGAAAGCATCGAGCACTGCTCAAAGTAGCACACTACTGTGTTCAACACGATGCTGAAGGATGCTCTACCTTAAAGGCGTAAATAATTACTTGATTACAAAATTATAATGGGTTGCGCACTGCGGCAGAAAGCAAAAAGTAGAAGCATCCCTACCCATCACAGATACAAAAGCGGACATCTTAGTCCCAAATAATAAACATTTCTATTATGTGGACATTTGCACACAAAAAATGGTTGAACAGCACAGCAGCAACCATGGACAACTGTCGCCAATACAATCAACCTAAAGTTTATATACGTACTCCTACAGGTAAAGCAATCGGTTAATACTTACCAACACTCACAGAAGCAGAAGGACTAGAATCATCAGAAGGAACATTTGCACTTTGGCAGCTCTGGCACTGTTTAGACGATGTAAACAAACGAGCGAAAGGGTGACAAATTGGAGGCAGCGTTTGTTCCAGAGATGGAGTAGCATGAGTCAACAATGGTTTCATAAAACTGAAAATACGTGCGTATATGGAGCTGATTACGATAAAATTATTCATCTACAGAACAACTGACTGTAGTGATCGATTTTCAAAGAATGGGAAGAACGGGGACTTGCGTTATTAACAACTACATATCCCACCCACCTACCCACAAATTAAGCAGCAATATTTGGGAAAAACTGATTACCTCCTGGAGAACTGAGGAAAAAAGGCTGATAGCTTTTAAAGACAGCGCCTCGGCAGAATGAACCTACCTCAGATTGACACAGATGGATAGGAGGCCCTCCAAGTGAACCAAAACAGCAACTCCGAGCCGAACATGTGAACTCTGCAAGCCAAGGGGCGCCCCAACCGCCGCTCCCCTTCCTCCTTTCGCTCCCCTAACACCTTGTTCGGACGAGTATGTTCTCCGCTAGAAAACGCGCCGTCACTCGTAGCTTCGTAGGGCAGAATTGTTCTAGCGCTCTCTACCTCCTTATTCTGCGTCTCTGACGGCAGAGAAAAACAGCTCACTCGTCCGCGCCCTTCTCAAGGAGGGTTTCAAAAAACGGGTTTTCCACATTTTCGCGCCAAGGGGAGTTCATATCGTGATTCAGGGGGCCGGAATAGCCCCAAATCTGCCAAAACGCCGAAGTTAAAAATCTGCCGAGCCGCTGCCTTTAAAGTACATGCTAAATTCCGCCTTCTCGTCTATAAAGTACGACTTCAAAGACTGTTAATTTGTTCTGTTCGGAAAGCAAACAAATCAACCTTTCTGATAAAGAAGAGTGCTGAACATGCTTCATCCTTGCGGGTTACACTTCACTATGGAATGACTTTAGACCTAATTTTGTTTCAACAATGCGTTCTTCATACCCACCACCGAATCATGAATTACTACAACTACTACAACTAGATAGAGGCAGTAAACTCTAACAACTAATTTGAACGATTAAGTTCAGCTACCACATGAAATGAGCAGAAAAATTCTGGCGAAGGTTCTGGGCGAATACTATGTAAAACTACTAGGATTCGCAAGCGCACAAATTCAGTATCCTGCTCCTATATATTATAGAGCGCTCTAGACTGTATTCGAGCCAAGTTTCGGCGCAATTTCAACACAGTTTTAAAAAACCGGAACGGAAGTTACTGAAACTGCATCGCAAGCGCAAGCAAGGCGCATGGTTTTCACATGCTCTTTCATAGGCCACCGTATGTCACTTTCCCTCTGACCCCGCTCCTCTTTCAAACTCAGGAACTTTATCACATAAAGCATGTGCCAAAGGAATGGAGATGATTTGTACAAAAAGTGGTGTTATACTTATTCTCCTCCGCGTTACCAAACCGGAACAGGATCGTATTAAAAGACACCGAAAGTGGGGAAGGGGCGTATCCGTGCGTGCTACATTTTTCGTTTGTCCCTGGATTCAAGCTAATTTAAATGAGAATCAATCTTTGATATTCACCTTGCATCGAAATTGTACCATTTGCGCGGTAGAAACGCTTTGTCCCAAGGATTTGATCCACTAGGAGTCAAGGGTGTGCTCGCGAGCCGCATGTCATCGAGCTCGTTCTTGAAAATTTATGAGTCATGTACAGATTTGATGCAGTTCGCAGGAAAAAAAACCTACAGATGGGAGAACATTGCCTGCATCCGAAGGACGATCGATTGATGGACCATGCCTAGAAACAGTATTAGCACTCCAAAATTAAGACAACCGAAAATTACTTGATTCCAAGATAGTCGATCATCCACGATGTCATGCCTCCATTGAAGAAGACGGTAACCATGACTATAGCAGCAGTTGTGGAGCAGATTACCTGGATATTTATTCTATATTGGTTCAAAAATATATATACAGTCTGTGTCAGACACGTATCCCTTCTGTATCCGCACCACTGCCATGCCAAGCTCCGCGATCGCGCGCGTATGGCTCAAGCATTCTGGCCTCATCCGCACGCAAGGCCCTCGCCTAGCGGATGCTAAACTCCTACGCTAAAGAGAGTACGTAATGGACACAGACTGTATATGTATATCAGTGGCGGTCCGAATTCTCTGGAATAAAGAGAGACGGATTTTAAATGGGGCGCGTGTTGAACACAGTTTTTGAAAAAGAAATTTTGGGATGTTTTCTAAACTTCTGTGGACATATAATCCTGAAAAAATCCCTTTCAAAAAAAGCAGGTATTTGAAAATTTCGTGACTAATTCACGGGGGATATTATAAAAAAATCGAATCCCCCCACCCCTCTCAAAGGCACGTTTAGGACCTCACTGTGATTTGGGTATGTATGTATCAGTGCCCACCCACCCACCATTCCCGAAAATGGGTCGCGAAATTTTTGAAAGCTACTTTGTATGAGTCATAAAAATGCAAGTGACTTGTATACATTTGTACATACCCTAATTTCACCCGTATAAGACGCACCTTTTTCGGTTTTTCAAGCGCGCCGCTCAGCCGGGTTGTGTTTCGGATAACGTATGCCGCATGATACTGTCAGGCAATATGCAGCACTGTAGATATTTTTAAGTTGCGAAGTCCTTCAGCGTGTCTGTGCTGTTAGATTTTAGAAAAAAAATACGAGCGTTCTATACGCGTGAAATTAGGGTAACTAAAATATTTTTTAAATTTTCAAAAATTCAATTTAGCCTCCTTTTTCTGAAATTTCGGAGTTATAAGCCCGCGGAAATTTTGAGAAGCATACCGAAAGAAAGTGAGTGGGTAACGCCACGCACCTTCTTTAAAAAAAAAATTTTTTGTCGTCCCACCTCTCGAACAAAATCCTGGGTACGCCACTGATATGTATGTATGTATGTATATATGTATATCAGTGGCGGTCCGAGGGGGGGGGGCGAGGAGGCCCGAGAATGTTTCGTGAAATTTTCGAAAATTGCTTATAAGAGTTATAAAAATGTGCAAGTGACTTGTTTATACTAATAAATAATCAAATAATTTTTTAAACTTTTTAAAAATTCAAAAGCCTAGTAAAAAAAAGCCTTTCGAGGGCGTGGCTGCCGTCGCGCCCCCTTTTTCTGAAATGGGGGTCAGCGGCCCGCGAAGCTTTGATAAGCATCCCAAAAAATTTTCGTGGCTAACGCCACGCAGCTTCATCCGAAAAGACTGTCCCCCCCTCCCCAAACGGAAATCCTGGAACCGCCCTGGTATGCATGTAAATATATATATATACATGTAAATATAACCAATTCTCAATCAAACAGACCTGTCGGCTGTCAGTGGCCGTGTTTCGATCAGCCAATGCGAACGCCATGGCACCGCGTAATCCGGCAAATAATAGCATATGTTGGTACGAGCGCGGAATGCGAGGCCGTCGACGAAGATTCAAGACAAAAGTCAGCGGATACACAAAAAGAGCACGAGCAGCAGTGATAGATACCTGTAAACGTGCTTCATGCAGATGGTAATGAACATTATAATCCGATTTACTACATTTTTGACGGTCAGTTCGTACTGGGCTGTCAGAGATACAGTATATCACATTTTTTTAGTTGACTTGAAAAACAGTGCTCTTGAGTCTAGTCAATAAAATTCTGACGCCAAATTCAGCGCACAACTATTCATTCCCAACGGATTCCAACCTCGGCGACTTGTTCAAGACAGGGATTGTCGCAAGGTGACTTTGAAGACAAATCCCGTTGAAGACAGTGTCTCACCATGACTGATGTAGTACGGGCCTCCAAATATTATGTTAGACAAGCTTGCTTACCCGGCTCCACTCGGCCCTGTCAAAACACTGTAATAAAGGTCCATCCCTATCCCTGTACAGGCTTTTCCTGTGCCCACTTATACACTTCATTTCCCGTTCCCTGTATTCTTTTCGGAATCAGCGTGCTCACATACCCCCCCCCCCCCCTGTGCCAACTCCCAACCCTGTAGTTCAAACCTTGCAAAGAATCGATAAGACAAGTTATGGATAATCACAGAAACTGATATTGTATTCGGAATCGCCATGCTCACCTACCCCCCTGCGCCAACTCCCAGCCCTCACAAACTTTGCAAAAAATCGATAAAATAGATAAAAAGTAATAGGTAATTCTGAAAACTAATACTGTATTCTAATCAGCATGCCCATATAACCCCTGTGCCAACTCCCAGCCCCGTAGGTGAACTGTGCAAAAAAATCGATAAAAATCGATATCGGTCGATAACGAAAAGTAGTAGCCTATGACACGCTCCCTGCCCCGAAGTATGTGTGCCAAGTTTGGTCCAAATCGGTTCAGAAATAAAAATTTCTATTCCGCACATACGTACATACACACAGACATACAGACAGACACATTCAGCTTTGTATATAAGATGGCCCCTGAACAAGCGACCGCACCAAGTCCGATTTAATCCGGGCCTTTCTATGCCAAGACATTTGCCCTCAAAGGGCCCGCAATGCGCGATTTGGCCCGCAGGGCCGACGCTCCCGGTTTCCTCCTTACGCGTTCCAACATGTCCCTCCACTTCACCTCCACCTCCATGGTATTGCTGCCATTGTGGCAAGGACTAGGTTAAGAAGGCACAACTCGTCCGCGTTATTTCCACGGGCTTTCAAAGAAGGGGGTTTTCATACATTCTATGCAATTTTGGACTCGCATTGAGTTAGAGAGGCATGAAAAGGCTTGCAACATACAGAAATATCGATAACCAGTTTTGTGCCCAGATTTGCCGGAACTCTAGGAAAATCTAGGCACAAGAGTTTTTTCCGGCTTGGAAACTGATGAAGGGGGTCCTAACTAAAGCACTGCCAAAGCGGCACTGCAAATGATCATTCACGGCTGAGAAATCCGTCCCCAACCCTCCGCGCTTGAACGTAAAGGACCAGGCATACCCTTCAAGATGGAATCGTCGCGAAACGTAGTCGTCGCGATCTGCTGGGAACCAGCGACGAAAACGCGCGACGGCGTCGCTAATCGCTCGAATATGGTGCATACCTATGCAGCAATTTGTGCGTTCTCACAATCCAGCGCACATTCCAAGAATCCTAGATTGTTGCCGCCTCATCGGATGATCTTATCCCAAGCTTTGATGCAAAGGGCACAAAGTAATGAAGACAAGTAGTTAGGACTTTTAGTTATCACCTTTAATACTTACCCTACGAATGATGTTTAGTTATACGCATTCTGATTGGTGCCAGTATACATAAAATTGATTGAAATTACCTTCTTTACAAGTGAGTGAAGTAGTTTTAATGGCTTCGGTGTGACCCAATTATCGAATCTTTATATCAAATCGAATCGACCGTTTAGTTGGGCCATCAACCAAAAGAAAAAGATGGACAAAGTTCGGACAGGTACAAAAGCATTTCATCGAAAAGCAATGCAGTCTGGGCTAGTTTTCAATCTCCTGACAAAAACCAGCTTGAGAAAGCGAACAACGATCATAAAACCTTCCGGCAACAAATCCCAATCCTAGCGATACCATCGCGTCGCTTACTTCAAACCAATGACGCGAATTCGCTGAAATGGGCGAAGATCGCGACGATATCGCTGAGCCAGGTACGGCTTAGCAAGAAACAATCAGCGAAGCGCCGCGCCAGACAACTAGCACATATTAAGAGGGCCGTGCTATGCATGTGTAACAGTTGTTCTTTCGCAAAGTTAGCGACGCGGTGGATGGCTGCCCGGAGTGCCCGGCCCTTAATTCGCGAGTGACTTGGAATGAGTGGATTCCATCGCGAAGGCAGTGTAAATGTTAATGAGGTCAATCTCGAGTTACGGTTACGGCGCAGGCGCGGAAGGTTTGGGGACAGATTTCTCAGTCGTAAATGTGCGCTGCCGCTTGGGCAGTGCCTTAGTTAGGACCCCCTCATCCGCTTCCAGGCGAAAAACCCATGTGCCCTGATTTACCAGGACACTGACTTTAAACGCAGTGTCCGGCAAACAGTCGATTTTGAAATTCTGTGCTTACCCGGGCCTATTGGAGAACGCGAAAACGGCGAAAAACGGCTCTAACACAGGAGTGAATATAGCAGGTGGGCGGAGTCCTCCACATTGTAAATTCACGCTCCCAGCTTCCCGAACGATCTTTTCGCTTCCGGTTTTAAATTACGCGTTTGCACTTGGCCGGTAGCGATGTTAGGACAGCTAGCGGAATCGAGAAGACCGCTCCGGAAGCTGGGAGCGTGAGTTCACAGTGAGAAGGACCCCGCCCACTTGCTGTTTCCCTCCTGCGCTAAAGCCCTTTTTTGCCGTTTTCGCGCTTTCGCATGTGGATTTTCGGATTCAGCATGGCGAATAAGCCCGTATAAGCACAAAATCTCAAAATCGAGTTTTTGCCCGGACACTGCCTCTAATGCATGCGGCCCTTAGTGCCTTGGGGCCGCATGCATTAAAAGCAGTGGCTCGGCTAATTTTCGACCTGAAATTTTTCGCTTACCGAGGGTAAATCTATGCGCTCATTCCAAATATCCACCTTGAAGAGCGCGATGGTGAAAACAAGCAATTCCTAAGGCCCCTCATTCTAAACTTGGACGAGTGGAGCACTTCACGTCATGCTTAGAGACGTAGAGTCGCTGCGGTACCCCCATGTTTATAGCATTGCGACATGCCGCCTCCGGGGTGCGAAGAGAATTGCAAGCTCGTCCGAGCACGTGTAAGAATGGCTTGCGCGCACACGTTTAGCGGCAGTTTCCTAGGCAGGGGCAGCATGCCGTGCGCTCCGACCTCCCTGTTCTCATGGTTAAAGTGCAAGCAACCTTATATATCAAAATTTCGAGATGTTCAGTTTGGCTAAGCCACTGTATTCAAAGGCACCGTCCACCCTAAGCTGAGGATATTGAGCTTTTCTCGGCATATAATAGTAGGGCCCCCTATCAATCCAATGCCCAAGTCGCGGCACAAAATTCCGCTTCGGAAGCGGAGAAAATTGCTTCGGACTATCGAAGATGCACGAGGACCCCCATCCATGCCCGCCCATTTGTGCGCGCCCACCCATTCACCGTTCCGGAAAGCCGGCCTGTGAGTTCTCCGGAAGGGATTGTCGGGGTTTTCGCGCATTCTCGACTTCATATTCGGAATCAGGGACATGAGAAGGCCCTGAAACGACAGAAGCGTGGAAGTCGAAAATCTGGGTGGACGGTGCCTTTGACGTCCCCGCCGCGGAGGGAATCGCAGCTCAAAAGAAAGCTTCATATTTTGAAGCTCCAGATATCTGGATTTCACGCTGTTCACTTATTCGTAAGTATTCTCACCATCCTTCGCGAATATATTGAACAGAGGCGAGAAGCTGTACATGCCGCATATTCCAGCTCTTTATATGATCCCCTGATGATCCCCAGCGGTCGACCTCTTCTCTTTACTCATTTTTTTCTTCGAAGTCAACGAAAACATTCTAGAGCTGTACTGATTATCCAACCCACCAATGCTAGGCATGTTGCTGACAAGAACAAGTGATGTTTTGGAATCATGAAATTTGCGATGGACCACAAGTCGGAAGTCGGAGTTTACCGAAGAACTCGATACTTCAAAAGCTCAATTGTTCTTACCAGCAGCATGCTTAGCTTCAAAGGCTCATTTGTTCTTATCAGCAACATGCTTAGCACCGCTGGGTTAGACGAAGAGTACAACTTGGAGGTCTTCTTTGACTTCGAAGAAAGAAAAGTGATTCTGAAGGAAAGACGGTCGGCCACCGGGGATGATCAGGGGATCAAATAAAATGCTGGAAAATTGGTACAGCTTCTCGCCCCTCTTCAATATGTTCACAGTGAAGGATGGTGAGAATATCTACAGATAAGTTATACGGCGTGAAATCTAGATATCTGGAGCTTCAAAATACGAAGCTTTGAAGCTGGATCCCCTCGCGGCGGAGATGTTAAAGGCAGTGGACAGGCAAAATGGACCCCTGTCAGATTTTGGTAGTTTCGGGTAGTGGACCCCCCAAGTACACCGTAGCTCTAACCCCAACTTCCAATTGATGCGCTAAGTCCTGAAAAAAGCGCTTCAAAATTCCACCAATAACGCCCACTCAATGCAAGTGGGCGGGGGTGGTGGAGTTTTGAAGCGCTTTTTTCAGGACTTAGCGCATGAATTGGAATGTGGGGTTGGGGCTACGGTGTACTTGGGGGGTCCACTACCCGAAACTACCAAAATCTGACAGGGGTCCATTTTGCCTGTCCGCTGCCTTTAATGCATGCGGCCATTGATTAGGCTTCGAGATTCACTTTCTATGTGCTAACCCTATAGGTCTACATTTGCCCCGACGCTGCCCTTAACACATTCACGACAATACGACGCCGGAGGGTCGTACATGTCCTGCCATTTCGGATGATGCGACCTACAGGTGGGTCGTATCTTTCTAGGGTTTTTGATTTTGCTAGTTTACGATGAAACTTTTTAGGCAAACTGAGTAATCTGTATACACCTCTTGGAATGATTCCCAAAAGATTAACACTTCAGAACACGGGACCCATAAGTGACCGGAGATTATTGCGCAAACTCAATATTGCGAACTATGCTTTGGACCGAAATGGCAGGCATCGAAAAAACGGTCCCGTCCTGAATGTGTTAACAAAGGAAACTGCTGAGCATACTCTGGAGCAGCTGATTCGTCTACGTGTGTGGTGCATCCCCGGAATTGTTCCCATATGAACCATGTAAACTTCGAATAAGCCCTAATGGAGTTAACGTTTTACGACGAAAGGCAGCCACGTTGATGGTTCGAGTCCTGGGTACGCAACTGGTCTGTAGGTATGAGCGGAATAGAAAATTCCATCTCGCAACTGATCCAGACCAAACTTTGCACACATACATTTCGCAGCGGGGCGGGTGTCGCAGGCTACTTTCGTTATCAGTCATTATCGATTTTATCGAACTTTTGCAAACTTAGAGCTACGCGGGAAATGGCACAGAGGGGTAAATGAGCATGCAGATTACGAATACATAACCGTTTGTAGAAACACTTACTATTTTCAGTGATTTTATCAAAATTTTGCAAACTTTGATCTACGGAGCTGAGGCTCCCGCCAGAGTGCCGAAGCCATGCCAGCGCTACGCCAGCGCCGAGCCAGCGTTTCGATCGATATACGTGTATTTCGTTGGGGCGAGGCTAGCTGACCTAATTCTCAGCCAGGACCCCGCCCCAACGAAATACACGTGTATCGATAGCGCTGGCATGGCTTCGGCACTCTGGCGGGAGCCTGAAGGCACGGGAGGGGGGATAAGCGAACATAACGATCACGAAAACGCGGGGAACAGAGAGCTAGCATATAAAATTGGGCTGGGATTGCGAAATGTTGTGCAGAAGTGGGACGGACTCCCGCCTGACCATATGCCAACCGTGTCGACCCTTGTTTTAGAAGATGATGTGAAAAACACGCACTCACCAATGCAAAGAAGAGAAATCCAAGATTCCATTTTTGATTATTTGCCACAAACACACTGACTCCTATATAGCAAAAGATAAAGCTCTCCAAAACAAACGAGATCATCTGAAAAGCTGAATGCATGAATGCGACTACATCATGGCTGCGATCAAACATGGAAGAACTGCTTCGTCGTGCGCTGCGACTCTTCCGAAAGATTGTTGTACGTGTAGTGGGCTTGCGAAATTCCGCAAAATAAAACTGAGACAATTCCTAAAGTTCATCCAACTATATACAGAGATGCTGATAAGAACTACTTCACTCACCGGTCAGTCCGACAACTTCACCTAGTAAGAACGAAATATAGGAAACCAGGATGAACAAACTGCTTTCCAGGAGAGGATGCTCGGAAATTGCGGTCATTTTAGTGATTAGGGCATTTATGCATCCTAGCACTGATCCCAATAGAAGCGAACCTAAAACGCCTAGAGTTTAGGCAACATCTGAAAATCATATTCAGCGACATGGATATGATGATGCGACTGCTGATTAAGTACTCCTACTCGGTCATTCAGATCTTATCTGCCGGCCCACTGTAAAGTATAGCCTACAGGAAGGATTTCAATGATGGACAATCAGAGTTTCACGATAACAAAAAACAGAAAACCCATCAAAAAGTGCTAACGCTAGTCCGTTACCATCGGCAATAATGCAAGAGAAGTGCACGACTAGGGCTTTTTTGCAAAAAAGATCGCCACGTAGTAACAAAAGACAATGCCTAAATTTCTTCCAAATACGGAAAATGTCGCAAATGTCTCATACTTATAGGCCACCGCACCGGCAATAGAAAAATTTAAAACCAAGAGTGTACAGTATGTGTAAGAGGGATTTACGACTTTGGACAGCCACCTCAAGTCTGAAACATTCCATACGATCTCAACGAAACTCATAGTGTTTCATGTAATGGTGCCTAGCACCATGTACTCAGATAATCGCTGGGGGCAGGCGGGCACCGGAAAAATAGTTTGCTGATCTCTCGCACTCCGCTCGCGGATTTTTTGCAAAGCAATCAGGACTTTTCGGAAGACCGCTTGCTGAATTCTCGATTCCTCAGAGATTCAGCAATATATCTGCAAAAGATAAGAGCGAAAAAAATTCAACAGGCGGTCTCTAAAAAATCCGCTGACTCAGCGAGCGGTCTTCCGAAAAGTCCCGATTGCTTTGCAAAAAATCCACGAGCGGGGTGCGAGAAATCAGCAATCTATTTTTCCGGTGCCCGCCTGCCCCCCGCGATTATCTGAGTAGGAGTTCCTTCATACTACGCCGCAGGACGCGACAGCCTGCCGCGTGCGCTGCGTACGCCGCAGCCTGCTGCGTCCCGCGGCGTGCACGGCAGCACGCAGCGTACGCCGCTACAGTCGCAGTGAAAATACGCCCATGGCAGTACAGTTTCGCTGTTTATCGATGTATCTCTAGATCTGTTGCACGTTCGTGTTCTTCGAGAGTATTTGTTTAGAGCTTGCAATCTTTTTCTTTTCTTCTTTTCCTCATCCTCGATCAAATGATTCTTCATCCAGGTTTTGATTTTTGTGTGCGCCCTCGATTCCTGAAACTTATCTTGCTCCAGTTTGTTGTCATCAATGACATCAGTGCGCCACTATGTTCATTTCTACTCATGAGGTACTAGTTTTGCCATTTCATCGAAACCCTTCCATCGAGTGATGTATTTGTATAAGAAACTTTTAGCAATAACAATATATTAGAGTTAGATTATGCATATTGCAGTTACTCATTGTGCAAAATCAAAAGTCGAGGGAGCACACGAATTCAAAATGAATGAAGAAACATTCGATCAACGATGAGACAAATTAAAAAAAAAAAAGATTGCAAACTCCTGAAGGGATACTCTCTGAGAACACGAACGAGCAGTAGATATAGAAATACACTGATAAACAGTGTGTGCTGCCATGGCGTATTCTCACTGTGACTGCAGAGGCGTACGCTGCGTGCTGCGACGCGCGCCGCAGGACGCGGCAGGCTACGGCGTACGCAGTCCACGCGGCAGGCTACCGCGTCCTGCGGCGTAGTATGAAGGAACCCTAAAAGCTGCAGCTGGTAATATTCTGGATATCTGCCGCTATTTCCTGCTGAAGAATGACTCATAAGCCAAAATTCGAACTGTTACAAAGCAAGGAAGAACAGCTTGATGTCCAGTGTGTGATGCAAGCCTTTAGTCGCGAAAGACTTATGAAAGCCATCTTACCAAAGAAAACGTAAGCGAATTTTCCAAGAGCGCGAAGGATTTCATTGGTTCCGACCTCGTCCGCGACGGAAAAAGCATCGATAGTGCTGGAGGTAGTTGCAGTTGAAAAGTAGAATAACTCAATAATGATGATGCAATAAAAATAGAATGATTTGCGTACGTGGATAGGACAATGGCAACAGCATCATTGAGGGCACTCTCACCAAATACTAGCGCAAAAAGATCTGCTTCAACATTCATCTCGGTGAAAATCGAGATAACCGTGACTAAAATTGTACGTTTGGATTGAGTTTCAGTTTGCAATTCTTCACACACCTGGATCAGTAGCAGAAATAACTGCACCAAAAAACAACAGCTCTTGGAAAGAAAAACCCATGCCAAATATACCGGTGAAGACGTACATGAGCGCGCTCAATGATTAACTATTTTTAAAGCTACTGCTAATAGAAAAAAAACTCAACGTTAATTTTGTAAACATGAAAGAGCAAGTATAATATATGCAGTATAAAGAACGTACCCAGTAGCAAAACAGGACACAGTCGTTCCAACAAAAACGAAAGCAAGAATACTTCCTATATTTCGAAAAAAATGCCGCTTTTTGAGACTGTAACCCGCGTTGAAGATTATTGGAGGCAGCATGATGTTAAAAAATATTTCGGGCGAGAAAGCACTCTAGAACCGTAAATATGTATGATGATGACATGATCAGTGAAGTGCCAAATGCATTCTCTAATCAAACCTACTTTTTGCTCAATTTTCTGCTCGTTGTGTTTTTTCTTGTCCGCATAAAATCCTTCCATCAATTCGTAATGAAAGGATACTTTTGGGGCACCTTCTGGTTTCACCTCGAACCTCAATATGAATATTTAATACTGTGTCGGGTGCTACTTACGGTAAATCAAACCTCAGATAGTCTGGTGGTTCCTCAACCACTCTGCTGTCCTTCAAAACGACGTCTAAGGTTTGCGAATGCAACAAACCGATATCAAAATAACGAATCACGAAACCAATTAACAGTCCTAAAATTATTTTCTGAAACCATGAGATCACAAGGGCCTCATGGAAGTGTAAAAATGGGATCACATAATCCTTATCGATCCAACACGTTAAAGTCAGCTAAACTCTACAGTGGTGGGATAGCATTCGTTCCTAGCTAAAGGTCTGGTAAAGTTGCCCACGTGACGATCTAAACTGGTACCACAATGCGGAAACTGGGATATTTGTTTTTACTTAGTGAGACAAACAAGCTTTCCAGCTCGCACGTCAGATTAGGCCAGAGGCTGGCTGTTTCACCGCATGTTCAAGATTTAAAGCCCAACAAATCAACAGACGTAAATGAGTCATTACTATTCATTATAACAAGTTGGAGATTTCCTTCATAGCTGTTGTATTAGCGTAAAACAATTTCCTCGAACAGTGAATTCCCAACACAGCATCTCAACGCATTCACGACAATATGACCCACTGATGGGTCGTACGTGTCTTGCTGTTTCGAACAAGACGACCCACCGATGGATCGTATGCTTCTGAAGTTTTTGGTTTTGCTAGTTCACGATGAAGCTTCTTAAGCGGATTAGTACATTTCAGTAGACACCCCTTGGACTAATTCGCGAAAGATTAACATTCCAAATGACAGGACACATTAGTGACCAGAATATATTACGCAAACTCAATACTGCGAAATATGCTGTGGTTCAAAGTGGCAGTCATCGAAAGATCGGCCTTGTTGTGAATGTGTTAACCTCTTACACAATAAGAAAACATACAGAACTGTACCGCAAAGCTATGAGATTAAAAATTGTCCAAGTTAATCCTTGACTCCCATTTCAGCCTTTTTGAAATCCTTTTGCGGCCCTGATTTCAGATATGATATTTGTAAAAACATGGAAAGACCTAAAAAACGCTTTATGAAAGCGCAAACGTTCATATCCAACTTTTGCCAGAATCGGATAGCAACACGGGCACATTATGCGTATTTATAGTCGATACAAGTCAAGGAGGAATAGCTGGGTGGGTGGAATCGGCATCACACACACTAGTGAAGGCGTGGTCGCTAGTGGACGATGAACACCTATACTAATTTGCTCAAATTCAAAAGCATGTCTAAGCCCTACACTGTGAAGGGACTAGTTATTGACGGGATCATAAGACTGACCTTCAGTCGATGTACGCACTATTCATGACACGTGAAGACTGGGCGCCGTTGCGTCCGGCCAAGATAGTTCGTGCATGTGAGAGACAGCAGGTGGTAAGAAGAAATGAAAGAGCGCTCGATCAGAGAAACGCCGTATGTCCGCAGTCTTTACGTGCTATGAATCTCCTATACTTGAACACCACCTCCAGACAAAACTAATGAGAACAGGTAAGAACAATCTTATCAGGCAGTGATGGACTGAGGAGAGGTGCTCTGGGCAGACGAACGAACTTCGCTATTAGCGCCGCCTCCGCGGACTACCGCCCCAACGATAGAGTAGCATGTGAGAAGGGACCAGTATACCGAGGAAGCGACACCGGTAGGAATTCATTGCTCTACTCGGGTATCTTCCCCTACGGATCTTATAATTTTTGGATGGCCTTGAGGCAATGTCCGGAGAAAAAATCGCTTCTGAGATTTTGTGCTTATCCGGGTATAGTCGCTATGCTGATTTCGAAAACCCACATCGGAGAGCGCGAAAACTGCGAAAAAGGACTCTAACGCAGGAGGGAAATCAACAGGTGGTCGGGGTCCTTCCCACTGTGAATTCACGCTCCCAGCTTCCAAAGCGACCTTCTCGATCCCGCCAGCCGTCCTGACATTGCTAACGGTCAAGTGCGAACGCGTGACTTAGAATCGGAATCGAGAAGATTGCCCCAGAATCTGGAAGTATGAATTCACAGTGGGGAAGACCCCGCTCACCTACTGATTTCCTTCCTGCGTTAGGGTTCCTTCATACTACACCGCAGGACGCAGCAGCATGCCACAGCGCGCCGCTGCAGTCGCAATGAAAATCTACGCTCACTGTGAAGAAACACTCTCGGAGAACAGGAACGTGTAAAAAAGATAGAAATCTATAACCGGCGAAGATGTGCCGCCAAGAGCGTATATTTTCACTGCAACTGCAGCGGCGCACCCCGCAGGATGCGGCGTGCTGCGGCAGGCTGCTGCGTTCCTGCGGCTTAGTATGGAGGAACGCCTTAAAGCCTTTTTCGCGCTCTCCCATGTGTGTTTTCGGTCAGCATAGCGAATAGGCGGGTAAGCACAAAACCTCAAAATCGTCTTTTTGCCCAGGCACTGCTTTCAAGTTGTAAATTCTAGATATGTTTTCATTTGTCTCAGATAGTCTTCGACATGTCATACAAACTCAAACTAATCTTACAAAAGATAACACCCTCAATTCAGAAATTCTGGGGATTGAGAACCTGTGCCAAATACGGAAAGCTTCAAAAATCTACCAGACTTGAATAACACTTGAGACTAGTCCTGGATGAAGGCGTATGATACAAGAAGGCCCACGCAAAGCTTCACAACAGCGATTGTTGGCCTAAGCAAACACATTCCAAGCGCTTTCAGCGGCGAGAGGTACCCCATCGAGCATGTCCCCGCCTCACGACTATAAAGCGTCCACCTTCCTCCTGGATTAGCCTTTACTTGCCCAATGAAGTACGACACATTCTCCACAGGGAAAAATCTATGTTCGCGCATAATTTGTATCGACACAAATGAACGCCAAATGTACATACAATACATAAGCACAGCAAAACAAACATACCGTAGAAAAGTGTGAGACCAGTTTCGTGCACAAACATGAACCGATAATGTTTGAATAACCATGAAGTAAGCACAATAATAACGAGCACAGAAATGTAGGTTAGCAAGATTATAGAATCCAATCGGTGGATCATTTCAGCTCGCTAAAACACATTCAACTGAGTCTTATAGAATCCTTTTTCATTATCGTACGACTGTCAATCGAGTCAACGGATGGACTGGCCGTCGATTGCGGAGCACGCGCGGCGCGCCCAAACGCTTGTACCATTACAAATCGCTATTGTACAAGTTGTGCTCTCGTGACATTTCAACCGAGCCGCGCGCGCTCCGCAATCTACGGCCAGTCCGTGCGGTCGACAACTCGACGAACTCTGTCGTTGCAGTGTGCCTCTATATTAAGCTTATAGAAGTTGAAAACCTCAAAGCGTTCCATCCCTTTTATTTAAACGCGGACGAGGGAAGCAATTTTTGCCAGCAACAGGACGCCCTTTGACAGCCACAACCGCAAGCAACACTGCCTGCATGCGTATCTCGCGCTTGCCATGCTGGCCGAGGAGAAATCGCGGAGGGCGGGCAGACTCCCGGGAGCTTTGCGAATCGGCCTGGAGCGGTATTTTTTTGCTTCGAAAGCAAACACGTGCGGCGCCACTTGGGTATCGACTTGATGGGGAGACCTACTACTGTCAAATGTGGAAGGCAAAGTCTCTTTTCCCCTTTTTCTAGATTCTTGAGGTAATGGGCTCGCAAAAATTCTGAAAAGCACTCCAAAAATTTTTTCGGAGTTTCAGCGTTAGCCACACACCTTCATTCGAAGAAAAAATATTGCCGTCCCCCCCCCCCCCCCTAAGACGAAAATCTTGCGACCATCACTGCTGGACAAGTTTTTGATTGAGGAATTTCATTTACCGGGGCTTATGTGTCTCGGCGACTTCGAAAATGCAACATGTACAGCGCTCAAAGTCCATAAAGACGATTTATAATATGGGGAAGGGAAAGGGGGGGGGGACTTCGTGGATTCGCAAAGTTAAGCAAAATTGGGAGCGCAAAAGCTCGTCGACAAAGGCTAAAATTAGCACCTCAGATGTCCGGACCAGGGTCAAGCGTGGGGTGCGGCACGCCACACTTGGGGGGTCGTATTCTGATAATAGTGATAACATGATATTCGTATCCTATCCATAATTAGCATGTCAAATAACCCTGTAGACAAAGTGTGAGCGAATTCTGAAGATTCAAGATACTAGGCTACCTAAGTGAAACGGTCAAATTCCAACATGGTTAACTTTGTTTCAAAGGTGAACTAGCTATCCCTTTTTGCACTAAAGACAAAGCACTACTCCTTCTTTGTCCAACTCAGTAATCCCGCTTCAGAAGACATCCAAACTGTGGGATTAGAAGCCAACCAAATTCTAGTTTTTCCCATTTTTCGCTTTTGATCGCTGTGCTTTCACCAAATATTACTCAGAGCTAAGAAGACGAATCAGGCTCCAAACAGTCCTATGGAATCTACAAGGTTTAAACTATCGATTCATATCGATAACATTTCCAAAAGATGCTTTTTTGATACAGTTAATGGGGTGCGGCACACCCCCTTAAAAGCTGCAGCCGCCGCAGCTTTTGAGGGGGTGTGCCGCACCCCATTGACTATATTAAAAAAAAAACAATTTTAGCGGACAATATTTATATGAATCGATAGCCTAAACCTTGTAGATTCCATAGGACTGTTTGGAGCCTGATTCGTCTTCTTAGCTCTAAATAATATTTAATGAAAGCACAGCGATCAAAAGCAAAAAATGGGAAAAACGAGATTTTGGTTGGCTTCTAATTCCACAGTTTGGAGGTCTTCTGAAGCGGGATTCCTGACGTGGACAAAGAAGGAGTAGTGCTTTGTCTTTAGTGCAAAAACGGATAGCTAGTTCACCTCTGAAACAAAGTTAACCATGTTGGAATTTGACCATTTCACTTAGGTAGCCTAGTATCTTGAATCTTCAGAATTCGCTCACACTTTGTCTACAGAGGTTGTTATTTGACATGCTAATTATGGATATGTTGCCCATTATGTTTGAGAGAGCCTTCAAGTAATGCTATCTTGAGTGTATAGTTCAGGGGGGGGGTCTTATTAAGACAGCAATCAGGGGGGTCGTAACCAGCGATCGTGTGCCACACCCCTTGCTTGACCCTGGTCCGGACCCTTACATTGATCTTCCACCAATGCTAGAGTTGTGCAATTACCACACAGTCTTGATCGTATAGTTCCACACAACTTTGCGTCTCTAACCTTGGCTAACTTTGCTCCAGTTGTAGATATAGAAGTCCACGGGAGGAGCATTATCATCATCGCTCTACAAGCCGCATCTTCGCAGTCAGCGAGATGGGTAAGCCCAGGTGAGCAAAAAATTGAATTGAGTTTTTACTGGGAAGTTGCATTTTACTAGTCTGAAAGCGTGATGTAACAATCCTTTTTGCCCGGACACCGCTTTTATGAGCACAAGATACACTTCCTTGATAATGTGAGTATTAGTTATGATCGTACGGTAGTGCACGTCTACCTTCGACATTTGCGTGAATGACCAATGAGCCCATGCAGTTCCTACTCGAACTGGCACACACAGATACGCTTCCTCTCCGAAGCAGCAGCATCATAACTTCGTTTCCTAATTCTCGTCGATCTCTGAGTATTAGCAGATTGTCAGCGTCGTTTGCTTGGCGCGCCAAGCCACTAGCGAAAAGGAACGCCGGCCCACGAACCGGGATGTTTTCGATTGGAACAGAGTGTGCCTTGAAGGCATTGTTTCCAAAATTGCGGTAGTGCGGGTCTTCACATACTTTGTTAGAGAATTTCCGCCGATCGCCCCAAGTTCCACGCGCTCAAAGTAGCCCGCATAGTGGATCTGGAGCGCAGCAGCCGACGCTACGGTTTCCCTCTTAGGCCTAAGGCATACTTCCAGCAATTCCTTCAAATCGCCACATCCACGTAACTTGGCGACGTGCCAGATGTCTACCGATTTGCGCTGGTCTGAAGTGCATAAGTGTGTAGATTCCTTAAGTTGTAGCAAACACACCAAGTCTGATCTGACCAGAGCCAGTTGCTTGTAACTCGTCACAAACTCAATTTGAGCAAATGGAAGATAGTTCATTTTATCGACTCACAAAAGTTGAATACAGCATTTGTGGTCTGCTAATGTTAGGTTTGAAGAGGTCTGGCAAATGGCCAAATCGCTAGCGACTGAAAATGCGAGAGGTATGCCAAGGGCTTTAGGCCTTAGGCCGTGGGCATACCTCAAGCGATTTTAGTCACCACGCGACTGGCAATTTACCAAATTTCTTCAAATTCAATACTGACAGACTCCAAATGCATAGCATGTATAACTTTCGTGGGTTGGTAATATGCCCCGCCTTCCCTACATCCAGAAACCCCTTACGATAAGTTATGAACAACTGGAGCATTGCCAAATCGCGTCACGATTGAAATCGCGAGAGCTATGCCCAGGGTCTTAGGCACACGCCATCCTTATTCACCTGATCCACTTCGCTATTGGTAACTTCACCGCTTTGACCAATAGCGAATGAATGAGGTGAATCAAGCGATTAAGTGGATCAAGTAAGGCCCGCCGCGTTTGTCCCTCCATTTGACGTTCATCACCATGGTATTGTTGCCGCTATGGCAGAAGCTCAGGTTAAAAGGCACCTCGTCGCGTTGTTTCCAGGTCTTCAAAAAAGAGGTTTTCGTACTTCTCGTGCGACTTTGAACCCGCACTGGGTTAAACAGAGTCGGAAAGGCTTACAATATACCCACAACCTATATTCGGTGATACTCCTTCAAAGCATCGGAAGTAAGCTCTTCGATCTGAAGCTAATGTCCCTTACACCAGCGTCATGGGTTTGGCTATTGCCTTGCTTGGTACGCTGCGCTCGCAAACGTATGACCCTAGACGCTAACACAATCGAAAAAAAGGCCGTTTTCTCCGACATTTTCTTTGGGCGAGCTTGTCGCGATCGTTTTCTAGCTTTCAAAGGCGGAGAAAGCTCGAAGGACCCTCTGAGCATCTTTATGGGACCTGTTTTTGTTACACTCTCGTCATGTAGTTCAACTACAATTGTCCGCTCTATGATTTATCAGCTGTCCGCCCTATGATTTATCAGCCTTCAGGGTAGGGAATGTGATCGGTGAAGACAACTAGGTCATTCTGTTTTCACAGTTCACTTTACATGCCTAAAAATGATGACAGAAATTGTATAGTTCATTTATAAAACCGTGACGATGGATTTTGCTGCGGACTTTGCATCCACAGGAGCATAAAACGTTCACACAAAAAGGCATCACTTCAACGTTCAGCTCAGTCACTTCCAGGGTGTAAATATCATCATACGTAAGCAAAAGAACCTTCCGACTAAAAACGAAAACCAAGGAAATGCGATCTCCGGAGGTGTCGTGCCTATCGCGCGCGGTCGCGCCATCGTCACAATTTTTCAAATGCCCTATACAAACAGATAATGAGTGCACAAGATTTTACGTTATTTTACAGAATAAAAAATGGGATAGTAACTTGTCAGAACAAAAACAGACCTGGTTATGTTTGCACAACATATTTTTTACTGGGAAGCCAAAAAGTTAAGAGCGCACAATCACAGAGTACATGGGGCGATGGAACAAAGACAGGCCGCACAGAAGCCCGGAAATCCTTCGAAGGCTCGTTGATTCTGAAAAGCTATGAACTTGCTACTCCAAAAGGGGGAATAGAGAAGAAAATTCCTCGATCTGCGCTATCGAACGTGGAGCAAACCTTGGGCGATGTTCGCAAACGCCGCGAAGCCCAAGCAGAGCGCCACGAAAACTCGAACCGTTAGTATAAGGGACACTAGCGTTGACATTATTATATTGAACGAAGTGTAGACGCTGTTTCCAGTTCAGCTTCACTGCACAATGGTCAAGCGTTGCTGTAGAATATAAGTTATTTGGTCTTCAAAAATAAATGTGGGTGCCTATGCACTGTGAGAGCGGGCTTTATCTGGATTCCAAAATCAAAAACCTCGGTCTTCACTAGAATCTGGTGAATCTCAGGCTAAGTCCGCGCATGCACTAGCTTTTGGCAAATTCAGGACCGCCTTGCTAACAAGTATCTGCCGACTCAAGATGAGGCGCTGGAATGTTCTGATATTCACGAGTGCAGTACTTGAATTCCTTTGAATTTCAGCAAAACAGATCTTGATAGCATCGGTTCGCACATATGATAACGAAATTTCATGACTCTTTGGAAATAACGCTAAGGAAATGCGAACTGCAGATTCGAATTAAGTCTTCAGCACGATATTCGACAATGCGACTTTGGCTACTTCCAAATTCCCTTTACCTGGAACATGCACTCGACCTATCCATAACAGCTTCTATTCGACAGTTCATGCTTACAGAATCAACTGAACGATCTGCTTGCAATTTCAAAACTTACCCGCTGAGCTGCCATTTCGAGATGGGACATATCCTTGTCCAAAGTTTCGGAAGACTTCAACAGAAGAAATACAACCACAAAGCTCAAAACTCGGGCAGCGCTCATCTGTAAAATTCTATAACGATCGCACGGAAACAGATGAGAGGGTATAGAATGCCGGGTATTTCATCTACCCAAAGTTTATTTGGGTCGATTTTGAATAAAAGCAATGCGGTAGTGAGGGAACGTGGTATACACGAGAAGGAAATGTTCCGGCGGGAATAATACGCATTACTAGCGGCGATTCCATCCGTCATAACTGTTTTACAAGATCATGAATACGAAATGATGAGAAGACATGGCGGAAGCACAATTCAATATACTTCAAAATTTACAATCATGGCTTACACTGTACGATGTGGAACTGCGGCACCTCGACAACTTTTAATTATGCAGCGGTATTACCAGACGGACACACGTCTGCAGTCGCACAAACACTGCAAACTACGCGGAGAAGGTAGCGTCCTCTGCGCCTACAGGGGCACCTTTTGCTGTCGAGGGGGGGGGGGATTTACGTCCAAGGGCTCGTTAGCTATGGAGCGTGCCAGCGCAACCCTCAGCCGCAACTGGCTACCAAAAGAGTTGGACTAAACGGATTGGCTTTTGCTGTTGAACCAAAACACAGGTATCATTCATTCTGTGACTAGGAGACGCGAGAACGCTTTGCGTACATTTCATTAACAAGTTCATGAGTGAGTTTTAGCGCGTTTCGGTTGATTTATTTAGAATTCGTGGAAGAACATGTTTGAGCTCGTTAATCCACGTTGGCTTAAACACCCTATTTCACGAATGCACGATAGTAATTAACCAAAACGCGTTAGAACTCATTCATGAACTTGCTGACCAAACATACGCAAAGCGTGCTCGCGTCTCTTAGTAAGTGAATGATACAGTCGGTTTCATCCCGGAGTAGGCGAGACATTCTACGTGGAGCAGCGCATGCGCATCGCTGGAGGCTTTGCGAGCGCATAGCGCTGGCATTTTGCCAAACAAAGACTAAGGAGATTGAAGAAACGCAGACATGGGTTCTCAGCATGATAGGATATACTGTAGCAAACGGCGCAAGTGTTGCGAGGCGGCCTCCCGCCAATCCAATTTCCGCCTAAAGCGGGTCGAAACTTATTGTAGATTAAATTGAAGAGACGCAGACTGCAAAGCGGCGCGAAACGGACTCCCACCAGTACAGTTTTTGCCCAAACTGAGTTGAAACTTACAATACTTAAACCTACACATGGCTGCGAAAAGCGCGGCCCATGACCCACTGCCAATCTCGCTGGCGCGCATCGTATCGCGGCCGGAGCACGCCGAACATCGTGCATTCGCTTATGGTAACGCTATACAACCAATGTGGTACGTGAAAAAATCTAATTGGTCTTCCATAGTGCGGTGTCTTACGTAAACTATGCAAGCATACTATGTGGGATCTCGTCTCACTCTGGGGTGGACATCACAGAGTAAGTGAAGCTTGTCCTCTCGGGAGTTTTGTTCATCGTTTGGTTCGTTCATGCACATTCACTTTTCATAGACTGGATCGTACTGAAATTGGACTGAAGTATCAAAGCGTATCACGATTAAGCGATGCGAGATGTGGTCGCAGAATGTGGCTTCAGTTTGCAATAGCCTGTATACAGTCATTGCCAATTACGCGCTCGCCTTCGCATAGGAACTACGCATGCGCATCTTAAGGGCAGCGTCCGGTCAGGTTGACGACCTCCGGTTTATTGCCTTACTTGGCCCTACTCGTCGCCCTAAATGCGAATATAAGCCTCGGAGCGCGTGAATACGAAGAAATCCGAAGTTTTCGGAAGCCCCTTCTAGTGGCCTCCGACGAGCACTCACATGCCCCTGGTCAGAAACCAGAGAAGCAAGACCCCGCAATATTGTGTTGCGGCACGGTTATGACAGTACGAGGTTGCAAGCCGTCCATAGTTATGACAGTGCAAATTGGCAACCTGCAATCTAAAGTGAAGTCTTTGGATGGGCGGGCATGTCGCCGCGGCCGTAAAGGGGTGTCCCTGTCGCCACTTCTGAGGCGGTTTTCTCGCTTCAGAAGCAAAGTGGAGCGATGCCACTTGGGCAAGACCTTGATCGGGGTGGGAGCTGTAGGAATCTGTGCTTTTCTTGAGATCGTCGGACCTTATCTTGACGAAGAAAAAGATAAAACTAGGCTTTGCTTACTAATTGAATTATGGATCATTAAATCTCCAAAGGCTCCACATATGACTGGTTTTCATAGCCTTCATATACTATACAGACAGTGTTTTATCTCCCACCAAAACTTCAGAACTCTTCAAGATGAGAAAATTATGACAGTAAACCTAGGCACTGCTGTCTAAGGCTAGTTCATACTGATCCGTAAGTTCCGCAACTTTCAGCACAGCGCTCGAATCCTGCGCTGTGCTGAAAGAGTGCGTGAACTTGAGGCTCAGTATAAAACCAGCCCAACAAGCATCTTACAAGAGCGCTACGCTGCCTTGGACCTATCATTAGTTCCGTGACTAAGTTCGCGACCGTTTTGCACGCATTGTCTTAGTAAGCTTAAATATCTTACAGTCGAGTAGATTTTCTGCTTAATGTAATGTGCTTGCACTGAAGGTAAAATGCGGTATCAATTTTCGCTGAACAAATAGCTGCGCCCGTAGCGCCGGCCAATTGCGCGCGCAAAAGGCTGCCATTACTGGCGTTGCTACTTGTTCACGCGCAAATTTTACCGCATTTCACCCTCAGTGCAAGCACACTATATTAAGCGGAAAATCTACTCGACTGTATCTAGCATTATTTACTACCTGGAATAGGAGATGTATAAGTTCAAACCTATTCAGAGAAAGCGTGCAAAGCGACTTCGAGTCTCCTAGGCCCGTATGCACGTACCATTCATTCTCTACCTAAGAAACGCGAGCACGCTTTGCGTGCCCTTTGCTTCAACCAGATCGGCTGCTGAAAGGGGGGGGGGGCTCCATGACCTAGGGGGCGACTGCTCGCATCGGCGACGCAGTTTGCGCCTCCTCGCGAACATGCTCTCTGATCATTATCTAGCCTTAATTGAGTCACGGAGCCCCTCCCTCCAGTCGCCGATCTGGTTGAAGCAAAGGGTACATTTGATCAACAAGTTCATGGATGAGTTCTAACGCGTTTTAGTTAACTACTTATGTTCGTGAAAGAACGTGTTCAAGCCAGCGTGGTTTGACGAGCTCAAACATGTTCTTCCACGAATTCTAGTAGTAAATCCAAAATGCGTTAGAACTCATTCATGAACTTGTTAACGAAATGTACGCAAAGCGTACTCGCGTCTCCTGCTCAGAGAATGAATGATACGTAAAGCGTGCTCGCGCCTCTTAGGGCCGCATGCACTAACATCCCCGCGGGGAGGGGACCGCAGCTTAAAAGAAAGCTTTATATTTCGAAACTCCAGATACCTGGATTTCACGTTGTGCATCTATCCGTAAGTATTCCTACTACCCTTCACTATGAACATGTTGAAGAGGAGCGCTCAATGGCTGAAAGTTTTTCCATGGATAGTATGGGCACTATGCTACAAAGCCTGTTCATTGCAGCCTCTCAATCTTTCCCTGCCTTTAGTTACGAATTTTCAAAATACCGTGCTCATACACGTTTTTGACATCGTTCTGGATGGCGCTAAAGCAGTTTTTTTCGCCTACAAAATCTGCGCAAAAGGTAGGAAGTAAGCCTTTTAGTCGAAAACATATCTTACCCTTCAAACATATCGTTTCTTCTCCCTTCAAAAAAATGGTGTCGCGTACGGGGACCGAATTTGCTTTTGACCAGAAGTATGCTTGGAATTTCAAAAAAAAAACCTGTAGAAACCCAAACATTATTACAGGTGTGTATGCGTGCCAGAGATGTTGCACGTACCTCTTGACTCAGAAATTCTGCTTCCGAAGCCCCACTGAAGTATCACACACTCGGTAAAATCCCATATCTTTACCAACGGTGACCGTCAATAGTTTGCAAATCTTAGAGTAAAGCTCAATTATCATTCAAATTATCATTCAGATCGGATTCGATGTTCTGCTTTGTCAAATAATGTCCTTTCCATTCATATTTTCCCAACCACAATAAACATAGCCAAATCTTCTTTTTTTACTACTTATCCAATCTACGCAGAATTATTTGTGACTTGGTTTTTGAATGGCGAAGCATTACTTGCATTAATTTCCCAATTTGTAAGTAGTTATCTATTTCTGATCTATAATTTTGATCAAGGTCCATTGGCAGGTATCTTTTGAGATTGACATTCATTTATGCAGGTTACCGCAATAGAAAGTGGGAGGGGTAAGTGGGAGGGGGGGGGGGGGTAGGTGAGGAGTGGGGTCGTACGGATAGGTACCTTCAGGGGGGGGGTCGTAGAAGAGAGTCTAGGATCGCATCAACACGCTTGACCTTGGTTGAGATTCATCTCAGACTATCGCTCCTATGCTGGAGAGATAAAAATATGCAAAGGACTTGTCTGTACTTGTAAATAATTAAAATACTTTTTATAAATTTTTAAAAATACAATTTAGCCTTGTAAAAAAAAATTTTTCGGGGCGTGGCTGACGCCACGCCCTTTTTCCAGATTTTAGGGGTTGGGGACCCGCAAAAATTTTGGAAAGCACCCCAAAAATTTCTTCGGAATGCGTGGCTAACGCCACGCACCTTCATTAGAAAAATTTTTTTGTCGCCTCCCCCCCCCCCCGAGCCGAAATCCTGGGTACGCCACTAGCTTATAATGATATTTCATGGCGTATATTATTGCACAAGCTAGATGGAGTTCGGCGTTTCCAGTTTCGGCCGGATGCTTAGCTGAGAGCCAGGCCGGGTCTTCCGCCCTCTGGTTTTCCGGTCGCTAGGCGTCCCGCTCCACACCCGGGTCAGCGATCGCCCCGTGGAAATCTAGAGTAGGCCTAATAAGTCTGCTCTTGTAATGGGAAAATTCCGCCACTTAGAAGAATAGAAATAAACCCTGCACATCGGATCTCGCCTTCGGCGCGGGTGGTAGCAAGACGATGTCAGGGTACTAAGGGCGCCTTTTGGATGGACGAAAACGACCCGAGTCGGTTCCCAGGGTTTCGGAAAACAAAGTCCCCCTGACTTTCGAAAGTTTTACGAAGTCCTCTTTGACCTACCCACTTAAAGGCAGTGTCCAGGCAGATCGGGTGGCATGGCTCTTTCGCCTGGAAATTGATGAGGGGATCCTAACTAAGGCACTGCCCAAGGGGCAGCGCAAATTGTTCAATCACGGCTGAGAAATCCGTCCGCGAAAACCAGCGCCTGCGCCGTGACCGTAACCCAAAAACGACTTCGCTCTCTTCAACACTACGTTCGCGTGGGATCAATCCTAAGTGTTCATAATTGGGGACACCTTGGCGAAGCTCCATCCAAAGTGGTCCGGGTTCGGGGTACTGTAATATAATGTTACGGTAGGTAAACCGTAGATAGAGGTAAAACACAGACTTTAGCTCAAACTTTTCGCAGAGTGGT